AAACCATAAGAGTCAAAACTAGTTTCGCAATGCAAAAACTGCCAGCTATTTGGACATACACACAACTTTTGCAAAAGAGAATCAAGATGCGTAAAGTGCGTAGGAAAACATCATACGAAGGATTGTGTAAAAAGTCCAGAACAACCGAAGTGTATAAACTACCTAATGGAACATCCTGATAATTACAGAAGATGTGAGGTAGCTAAAACCTTTTAGATAAGGAAGGATAACACCACTAAACCCAAAATAATGACGAGGCAGAAGAGACCCATAAACGCTTTTCCTACTGTCAGAAATGAAATAATATATTCTCAGGTAACAAACTCACAGGAGCAACCAATTCAAAGGTAACAACTAGCCATGAATCTCACGCCAGAAATTGCACAGCATACTGCACAGTCAGCCAGCCTAGCAGAAAGTACCACTCATGATTTATTATTATCCTTAATAACCAGAATTTATTCACTCTCTGACAGGCCTCAGAAGCTAAAAGAATTAAATATACCCCAAATATATAATTAAACCACCAATGGGCAAAAGAGATAATAGAATAGCCATTTGGAATGCCAATGGTATTCTCCAAAAACAAACTGATATCCAAGTTTTCTTGGACGTACAAAAAATAGATATATGTCTGATTTTTGAGACGCACCTTACAACGGAGTCGTACATTAAATTCAGAGGATACAACTTCTATCACACTATTTATCCGTCAAATGCAGCAAAAGGAGAAAGTGCGTTAATTATTAAAAATAACATTTCCCACTATATGGAACCAGGCATCCAAGAACCAGATAATCAGGTAACCATTAGCACCATTAACATCAAGGGGGCAAAATTACAATAGCTGCAATCTATTGTCCAACAAGATACAACCAGAAAAAATAAAATTATCTCAATGTACTCAAAAAACTAGGTAACAAATTTATAATCGGTGGAGATTACAACTTCAAAAACACCAACTGGGGTTCAAGATTACCCACAGTCAAAGGAAAAGAATTGCACCGAGCTGCATCAGAACTTGGTTGTGCATACTAATCTTCTGAAAAATCGACCTATTAGCCCACCGACCCAAATAAGATTCAAGACCTTTTGGATTTCTTAATTCTGAAGAAAATTTTACCAAACTATACAGAAGTAAAAGAAAACTTTGATATGGATTCATACCATTCTTTAGTAATCCTTACTCTAAGTGATGTTATTCAAAAAGAAGCCAAACCAACCCTAGCAAATCGAAAAACTAATTGGGAAGGTTTTTAAGAGGACTCAACAAATACTATTTAACTGACCATAACATCAAAAACGAAAAATCAGCTAGGTAAAGAACTGGAAAGGTTTACAGTTGAAATTCAGCAAGCTGCATGGAGGAACATACCAAAAGTAAGAAAATTAACAGCTGGAAAAAACAATCCTGTTGAGATAAGAGAACTAGTTGCAGAAAAAAGAAAACTAAAAAAGAAATGGTAGATGACAAGATCACCAGAACATAAAAATATATTAAATAGGGCTACCCAAAGACTGAGAAGAGAAATCCTAAATTACAAAGAAGAATACTTCAACAGATATCTAGTAGGGCTAACAGATGATAAAGAAACTTATTAATGGCTTTGGGAGCCAACTAAAAAGATGAAAAATTCGTGTAAACACTGCCCTCCTATCAGAATCGCAGATAACAATTGGGCAAGAGACAATCAACAGAAAGCTGATATTTTCGCTGACCTGCAAAAGACGTTCCAATTAGATGAAAATCAAGACACTCCCAATAAGATAATCCATAATATAGAACAACTTGAAATTAGGCTAGTTACTCCCAATGAAATTACGAAAGAAATTCAGACAAACATCAACTCACAGAAAGCCCCAGGTTATGACCTTATTACTGGAGAAATATTAAAGAAACTACCACGGAAGGATATTGTTAAATTGACATAAATATATACCTGATGCGTGGAAAATGGCTGAAGTTATCCTGTTTCCTCTGCCAGGAAAACCTCATATATACCTATATCATTGTTACCAATAATATCTAAGTTATTTGAAAAACTACTACTAAAACGACTAAAACCAATAATTGAAAACAAAAATCTGATCCCTTCGCACCAATTTGGTTTTAGAAACAAACACTCGACAATAGATCAAGTACACAGGATAGCCGATATCATCGAAAAAGCTTACGTTGAAAAATATATATGATCAGCTATATTTCTTGACGTAGCCCTAGCATTTGACAAGGTTTGGCACTCTGGCCTGATACAGAAACTTGAAAAAATGCTCCCTAGACAATATGTCAACATTCTATAATCATACCTAACGGGAAAAATGTTTAGAGTAAAGCAAGACGAGGCATACTCCAAAATGAAATAAATTAAAGCAGGTGTCCCACAAGGCAGTGTGCTAGGACCGGTTCTTTACTTATTATACACCAAGCGATATCCCTCAACAATATCATATAAAATAGCAAGATTTTCGGATGACACTAATACGGAGACTTTAGAAAACCTTCAGGAAACCTGCAACAGAATCAATCGATGAACAAAAAAGTGGAAAATAAAAATAAATCAAACTAAATCAGTGCATGTTGATTTTACTCTTCGACCAAATGAACAAAAACAAATAAGAATAAATAATGACGTTATTCCGCATCACCATTCAGCAAAATACCTAGGGATGAACCTAGATGTAAGACTTAAATGGAAAGAGCACATAAAAAAAGCGTAAAGAAGTTAAACTTAAATTCAAAAAATGTATTAGCTCCTAGGAAGAAAATCCAAATTGTCAGTGTACAACAAACTGCTGATTTATAAACAAATACTAAAACCAATCTGGATTTATGGTATACAGCTATGGGGATGTGCCAGAAAGAGTAATATCAACATGATACCAGTTTTCCAAAATAAAGTCCTAAAATGCATTGTTGATGCACCTTGGTTCTATCGAAACGATTATCTTCATAGAGACCTGAAGATGCCAACAACCGAAGAGGAAATAAACATGAGGGTCGACTTCACTCCCACGTCAACGAAGAAGCGCTGCAATTACTGGACAACTCTACACTCAACAGAAGGCTCAAAAGGAAAACGCCATTTGAGCTAGTGCAGTGAACCTTTAATGTTAGTGCTAGTGTAAAACAGAGTAATAAATCGTCACGCCAACTTGTGATGCTTTCCTATAGAAACAATTAAGACAGCCCAATGGGGACTTCTTAGATAAGTAATTAGTTTATAAGATTTTTAGTTAAAATTGTAGGTTAGTCAGTAATGACTAGTAACAATACTCTAAAAAAAAATGTTCGATTGCGACTTCCACCATAGTAGCAGTGTAGCCACAGTCGTAGAGATTTGTTTGTTGTTTTTTGTTTTTTTTTTATCGTGTTATTTTAAAATATTCTCTAAATTTTATTTTATATTGAAACAGATGTCGATAAACATCTCAAAATAACATTAATCACGTCTTTGCTTAAACATGGGATGTATATCCGCATTGTTCCTTTCCACATTAGGTAATTGTATCTAATATTTTCTTGTCATATACTTCTAACAAGAAATACTGCTGAATAAGATTTTTGGCTTTTAGGTCAAAAAAAGAGGTATCAGAAGCATAAACTACTTGCGACTGTTGACGTGAATTGTTTGATAAGAAATAAGAACCTACCACCACGGCTGCAGTCGCGCAACGGCGGCCGAAAGGATGGAACCGTACCTTAACTGGCCTAAAAAAAGTGCTGCATTCAACATCCAATTATTTCTTTCATTATACATATTTATATTAGCTCTTTTTAATTTGGAATACTAACTGTGGTATTATTAGTACCTTCAGATTTCATTTTCTTCGTGTAGGTACTTATGTACCAACAATAACGATCATTTTATGACACGCACTAAGGATTCCTTGCAATGCCAGTAAGTAACCGGTGCCGGTGTTGTATACGGTAAATACAATTAAGTGCGATTTCACATAACTTACATAAGTAGAACAGGCTTATGTTTGTATTAAAAATAATATTTTGCATTTGAAAGAATAGGTATATTTTGCAAAAGCATTTACCTGAACATTATCGTGTTGCTAAATACATAGTGTCGTTCAACTTTCTAATTATTACCTTTCAAGTTCAAAGGGAAACCTAATCCACAACACACGCGTTAATGTTTTTAACAAATATTTACTTATTGCATTTAAAGAAGTGTAATGTAACACTAAAATTGAATATTACAAAGTTTATAATGAAAATTATCTTACAGTAGGAGTTTCTTTAGATCTAGATACAGCAGAAATGAAAATAATGTGCTCTGGCCTCTGACTTTTGACATATGTAAAGCAGAATTTACATGAAGACAGTGAATGGTGCCAATAATAGCTGGTTTCTTTATCTATGGTTTCAAATACATTTTTGTGTTTATACAATTCCATTATTTCACTATTTGTGGAAACTATTTTTTTATTATTATTACATCGCTTTTACACCCAAATTCGAATTAGTTAAATTTTTAATTTAATTGTTATTATTTCTTCAAACTAAAAAAGTTCACAGTAAGTGGAAGGTTGCAGTTAGTTTCTAATATTATATCTAATTAAAACATAACTGTTTACCAATTCGCAACTCATTATACATTTTTAGTGTTTATAGTGTTTAGTGTTATTTTATTAATTATATCTTCCAAGGGTGCATGTTTTGCACTGAAATATCTGTCTTCCTTGGCAATTACTGTAAACGGAGAGAGATAAAAATTTTGTCTGACATTTTATTTAGGTTGAGAAATAATGGTTGTTTAGAGTTGTGTGTGGTTGAAAGATGTAGGTGTTCTCATGACACCTTTGCTGTAAGTTTCGTAAGAGCATAGTATAACCCTATATTTTTATTTATCTTCGTATTCGCCTTCTAGATGAATTCGATTTTGTAGTTTGTTTTTTCTTTCACTTCTTTTAAATTTAACTTTTTAATGTAAACTTCCTTAACCATGGAGCTGTAGAACTCTCTTCTAATTCAAAAAACGCAAGCTTACCTTTTGAATTGTTGTCCCAAACAATAACCGTCAGTTTATGTTTAGCCAATCGAAGCACTAGTTCTTTTCCTACACCACCAGCACCACCGGTAACTAAAGCGATTTTTCCAGAAATGTCTTTTTCAGGTATTAGAAAAGACGGTGCTAAAGTGAGAATGAATGATTCTGTAAAGTAATATACTGCTAGAGCAACTACTACGATGAGTTCTGCTATCCTCGTCACAATTCGAAAAATTGTGTTGGTTATTGCTACTTGGCATCTTCTAATGAACCTAGAACAAAGAACAAATTATTAATTTGGGCCTAACTGTATTTTTAACATTAAACCTAAAAGTCCCTCTATGCCTTATTTGGGCCTTTTAGGCCTTCATATTCCCATTACCAAACATTATTGATAAAGTGAGAAACGTTGTGAAATACCTTGATGGGACGACCATGATGCTCCTCATCAGTCGTAATAAATCATAATTCTGAAATGTACTAGACCCTTTGATGAAGCATCTGTAAAATTGTTTAAAAAGATTGACGAAATGCATGATGAAATTAGTAAGTTAAAAACTCACTTGCAAAAGACAATGTCTGAAGAAAATGCAATTATGAACGTCAAAGAAGGATGCTCAATATTATAGAATAATAATGTAAAAGATGCTGAAAAAGTAAAGGAGAAATGAAGAAATCAAAATAATAAAACCTTTACGAGTTCGAAAGAAAAACAGAAATCGCGCTAGTCTTCTAAAAGTTATTCTTCAGAATTCAGCTGAAGTACCTAATGATATTTATGAGAAACTGGAAACACATTAAAAAGAAAAGGAAAGTCTTCATAGACTTAGATATGACAAGTATAAAGAAACTGAAAGATCAATTAAATGAAAGAAGAGAAGAAGTTTTTATTAAATACGTGCGCGGAATTCCTTAAATTTCATGTAAGCCAGAAAACTAAATGATATTTCGAACCCTATTTCAGTGCATTATCATAATGTGGGTGCTATTCCAACAAAATATATTAAACGTTGGTCAAACGGCACTATGTTTTGAATATGATGTTATAATAATTGTTGAAACGTGGTTAAATCAAGATTTTAAAGATTCTGAATTACATTTGCATGACTTTGATATTTTTAGATTAGATAGGGACCTCGTGGGGACGGGAAAGTCGGGAGGTGGTAGTATTTTAATAGCTGTCAAAAGTCACAGTAATTCCAAGTTCTATTGAATATCTTTACATTAATTTGACAGTGAATAACCAAAATATCATTATTGGGGGGTTTATTTGCCTCCTTTGTCTAGCGAGGAAAACTTTATGGAACACATCTGTATTATTGAGAATATTTGTGATAGTTATAGGAACAGTAAGTTTATAATTTGTGGTGATTATAATTTGCCTGAAGCCACGTGGTCTAATGATGAATTTGGTTTGAAAGTAAATTGCTCTGATAATTATAAAGCTCTCATACTATCAACTGGAATTCTATAATTTTTTTCAGATAAATACAATAGTAAACAGCAGAAATGTCTATCTTGATCTTATATTGTCCAGTTTTATTAATATAAAAGTTTCAGAACCTATAGATCCTCTTTTTGATAATAGTATGCACCCAACTGCTATTTCCTTTGATTTAAAACTAAAGAATGACTCCAAACTAACATATGAGGAATATTTTCATGATTTAAAACGAGGCAACTATACGGAATTAAATGATTACTCAGCCCAAGTAAACTGGGATTCACTATTAAATAATATAAATGATAATGAGGCTGTTGATCATTTTTACAGCATTCTTTATGAGGGTATAAATACATTTATTCCGATCAAGAAATATAAACCATCAAATTTTCCACACTGGTTTAATACAGAACTTAAGTATTTAATTACTAAAAAAATTAAAATACATAAACTGTACAAATATTCAGGTGACCTTAGATATTACTATCATTTTGCACATCTTCTTTTGCACGAAAATCGAAAATAAGGGATCGATAGGCAATGTCAAGACGAACATTTAAAAAAAAATCACCTCAGACACTCCAACCCCATAAGGTGTAGAGTAATTTGGGTGGCACAGTGGCGCTTCGCGCGAGTCATGTGATACACGGTAGTGTTGTATTTTAAATTTCTTTCGGAAGACATCGCATCATAATTAATCATAAAAAATTTTGAAAATCCGGACAAAATATTAAAACTTCAACTTATGAAATAATTACAATATGTTTCATTTAAAAAACTACAAACCATCAAGAACTAAAAACAAAAACAGTTCCTCAATTAAAAATTCTTGAAATTAAACATAAAACATTATATAATATGAAGGGCATACATAAACACAATTATAGAAGACAACAACCGTCTATTAAATATTTACATAAGAAATAAATTATAAAAATTATAAAAAAGTTAATTTCAACTGCCAAAAGATTTTAAGTATACTTTAATATGTTTGATGATTTTCTTGAAAATTCCGGAAAATTTGTAATTCTCGGCGCATTCCAGACAGAACGTTAAAATTCCGGACATGTCCGGACTTTTCCTGACGTTTGGTAACCATAGGTGAGCCAGAATTACCTAAATTAATTGCCATCTCTGTTAAAACGGTATCAGCTTCTCCACCGACCTATATAACTCGAATTCCTGCACCTTCTAGACTTTTTGTAACATCTTGTTTTTCATGCTGGATAAAAATGTTCTTGACTGTATTTGCAGTATTTTCCCCAAATGTGATGCCAATGCAAGAACATTTCCGTGTGCGGAGAATCTGTTCCTGAGACTTTGAGGAGTTTTCAATATCATACCCATCAAACACCATTGTTGAATTAGAACCACAAGTACTCAATACTCAATTCCAATTTATACCAGACAGCAACAACGCTCCGAAATGTAAACAAAAGTTATGTGCGTTCTAGACCAGAATTATGTATAACTTCCTCAAAGTTTTCTACTTTTTATTTTTCGAAACAACAAATTATATTTATTATAATGCTGTCTTTGGATGTTTTCGACTTAAAAATTCTTTAAACATTTGACGTTTGAATAAAAAATCTATTTTTTTTATTTTTAAAGACATATTCGCAAATATCTTATGGTTTGGAAGTTATAGAACCCCTTATTTTGAGTGGTTCCTAATTTCGAACTCTTGAAATTTTTTGATATAATATATAGTCGTTTATAAGTTATTAGGTAATTTATAAAAAGACTACGATTTTTTAATATGGTAAGTAATTTTGAGGCCTTTCGGTATAAGGACGACTAGTACTCCTTTTTCTGGCAGACGCAGTTTTATGTTAATTTTTTCTAGATTGGTCTATACAAAGGCCTGGATGTACTTGCCTAGTGTCATTTAAAATGAGTCTGAGAAGCATGTACTAGCGCACTGTACTAAACGGATTACCAAGTTAATAGATAAAAAAGTCAACTGATATCTTCATGAAACATGTAAAATCGGTAATTAAAAACGATTACGAGTACCTTAATTAATATTATAGTAATAGAATATTTTAATTGGAACTTGTTATTTTTGCATTATCAGTACAGTATTACTTACTATTTTTTTTTAAATTTAATATGTATGGCCTTGGTATTGGCAACTAGCCGACTAATTTATATTTTCCAGGCACCAACAATACAACTTAACTTAAAACAATGTTTATGATAAGAGAACTTATATTGTAGTTTGTAAACAAATTAAAATCTTAGTTAATATTTTAAAGGATGACTAATACGGAAACCTGGATATTACTGTTTAAATAGTAATAGTAAATCCCATAAATCTGGACGAAGTAACAGAAAACCATAAAAAATCTTTTGAAATGATTTTGAAATATAAAACTATATATATATTAATTCGGGTAAAATATTCTGCGTTTGTTACCAGTGCTTGAGCCTGCTTCCAATGTGTCCTCGCAGATTTAAAACAACGTAAAATTATAGACACTGATCGGCGCCGGTTACCGGTAAGCAGGAAATTGCGTCCACTAGTCCACTGTGTTTGTACCCTACCAGAGACCACAGAGATATAAGCAGCAGTGTTGCCAGAATATATATTTGTTGTGTACCAGATTTGCCTGAGAAATGTACCAGATTCCATAAAAATGTACCAGATTCTATGAATTGTACACTATTTCTCTAAATGTGATGGTTTGGTTCATTGAAGAGCAAAAAAAGCTTTTATCGAGAACGAACACAAACAAGAAACCCAACAATATATTTTAGCCGTGGTCCAAATGGACAAGGCAGTAGCCAGGGGGGGATCAAGGGGTATTGATCCCCCCGAAATAAAAAAAAGATATTTATTTTAGATTTTTAATAAGTATTAATGAGACTGCAGTTATAGTAAATAGTAAATCACTATAAACAAAATTCTCTACCTACTGTTATTTTTATTAACCGACTTCAAAAAAAGGAGGAGGTTATCAATTCGTCGCGATATTTTTTTTTTATGTAATGTATGTTCAGCGATTATTCTTTAACACGGTGATTCTTTTTTTTGTTAGAAAGATGATATTTCAGGGGTGGTCCCATATAAATTTAGTCAAAATCTAATAATTGGGTCCATGAGAAAATCCTCAAACTCTTCATTTTTTATGTATGTTCAGCGATAATTTTTTAACACGGTGTCCGATTTCAATAATTCTTTTTTTGTTAGAAAGGGGCTACTTTAGGGGTGGTCCCATATAAATTTGGTCAGTCTAATAATTTTATCCTTGAGAAAATCCTCAAACTCTTCATTTTTTATGTATGTTTAGCGATAATGCTTTACCACCTTGTCCGATTTATGCGATTCTTTTTTGTTAGTAAGGGGGTACCTCAGGGGTGGTCCCATATATGGTTAAGATATGGTGATGGCATCTGCACGTTTTTGAAGTCGGTTTTTTAAATTTTTAATTTGTAATACTTGTTATGTATGACTTTATGCTCGCTTGGTATTCGCACGACGATACTTAAATAGCGGCGCAGCGACATCTATTAGGGAGCGGCGAAACTACGTGCTATGCCAACTACACAAGCAACGCAACTTCGGGTACGTGCTCGAACCTCCGAGCAATTACTACTAGAGGGAGTCTTCCCCCCTTCCCCGCGCTAAATTTTGTTAGCAACATCTACTCCCCCCGAGGGGGAAAATACCTCTTCTGTAATTGGCTTTTTTAATCAGCGTTGCCAAGTTTGACAGCGCCAGAAGTGTTCTGTGAGCACCAGGAGTGCGTTTAGAAACCACGCACGGCGCGTCTGGACCCTATTCTAATGTATGTGGTGAGACGCGCCGTGCGGGGTTTCTAAACG